TGGCTAACCGCTAAGCATCCAGGTTGAAAAAAAATGGTAGCTTACAAAATGGTTCCATACACAGAAAACAAACAGATCGTAGCTTCATTATAACTACCGCTGCTTCAGCGAAACTACATTGGCTATCATCCCGGAAAGCCACTTTTTCATTCCTCTCCAAAAAAATAGTTATGGAAATATTTCTTTCTGAAAGCAGATCTATCTCTACCTTGTTTCTCCATATTGTATGCTGGTCTCTTGGCCTGCGTCTGCCGTGTTTCGGCTTTCACTAGAGAAACTCGCGAGCTGGAGTAAATAGTGCATACTGAACCAGTTTGTCAAACACGAGAAACCTTCATATCTTAATCTCCCTATCTACAGGCAGCACCTCCTTACCCTGAAGAAAATAATCATTCATTACGCGATCCTACCATTCATACTCGAAGTAAACACTTCAATCGTTGTTCCTGTTTATTTGTGTCCTGTTTATTCCTATTTATTTATCAACTGTCTCCATAACGTACAACAGCACTGACCTGACCATCACAAGGTACAAGCAAATTTTTGTGGAAAGGATTACTCTTTACTCAGCTCAAATATTGGACAGGTTTCTAAAAGCACCCGAAGCTATGACGATTCTACTGTTTAGAACAAGCTGGTGCAATAGCTAAAATACACAGTGGTCAACCTCCTGAAGTGTTTCACTTCCCTGTTCTACTTGCAAATCAACTGTGCCGGGTGAGTTCCTTATCATTTCTGACTTGAAAGTTATGGAAGAGGCCGGCTTTCGCGGCTTTGTTGCAAGCGGAGGCCGTCAGGTGACAGAGCACACTCCACATGCAACTCTTCAGGACAACGCTATCTGTATGCAACAGATCATCAAAATATCCAGCCGAACATTTTGAACTGTGAATTCTTTCTAGAATAAGACCTTCGTTTTTGCTAAGTCGGCACTGCATTGGGAAAACTGAGAGCAGTGTCGAATAGCAAAGGCGAATGAGCATCTCAGCAGTGAATAGGAATTAAGAACGCATTAAACAAGTATACAGATGTGAACTAAATAATAATCTGCGGTCGACAAATCGCTGACGGACAACTGGATGTAACATTAAACCTTGACAGCTTAGTTTATTTTGATTGCACGAGGAGTGAAATGACAAACTCTGCGCATCAATAATATTTTTTATACTCACAGAGAGGTATTCCTGTTTGAACCAAAGGCGTGGGTTCCAATGAAAGCCGGCATAAACGCGTCTTGTTAAGTTTACTGCTAGTTCCCTTAAAAAGTTTACCCTGCTTCAGCGAACTACATCAAGAAGCTGGCAGGAACTGAATGACCTGCGAACAGTGGAGAAGAACGGTGTTTTGGTGGGATGATACCAAACGTGCAAGACACACGGTCATGTTGTCTGACGCGTAAGCCTTACGACTGAAATACATCCTGACTGACATCACAGCCAACAAAAAGTCAACACAAGTTTGACCGGTAAATAAATATCAGATGAACGCCCTTCAATTCAAAGCTATGCGAAGCAGTAATGCTGTCAGTGGTGATTACTCCCTCCTGTAATAACAATGCTACGGGTCCAAATTCCAGTGTGGAGTTTACATTATTACCAACTGGTCGTCTAGAGCAAGGAATGCGCGTGCAATAATACGACGTAACTCTAAGAACAACGGATATCAGATTGATGATATGCAATAAAACTGGGGCAGTACAGCAGTGATCTGTTTTTGCAAAGCA